TGATTAATATGCTTCAGTTGCCTTACTTTCAACGTCATAGACGTAGACACATATATACACTTTCCCAGTTCAATAATCCCATTTATTCAATTCTCTTTTAATAAAATAGATTGTATGTGGCTTGTGATATGATATATTGCATCTAGATTTTGCATAACTGGTATCTGCATTTAACATTGATGCAATTTTGCAGGGAATGCCAACCACTTGATTTTGAAAAACTTAATTTTCTGCATACTATTATAAAAATGCTCATATATTTCTGGAATGATTTATGCTTGATCATTCAATTGAGATAGTTATCTAATTTCCATCCAATTAATGTTCAAATGATTAAAATAACTTGCTACTCCAATGGTTACAACCATATTTAGTAGCTGTTGTTTTGTTTATAATTATAATGTTTGACTATGTTAACATAATATGTTAACTATTTCTATTATCAATAATGCTATTGTGAATATTCAAATTATATTAAATATTAATTCTTATGTTAAAGAATATGCAATATATGAATAACAAAACAACTAGTTCGGATTATGAGAATTTGTATATTTTGGCTTTATATTTTGGCGTTAATATATTAAAATCAAGTTGTATAGTATTTATAAGTAATATTACTCCTTTGGAATAGGGCATTTTATTGGATAGAATTTCACATGATATTATTACATGCTTTTACACTTAAATCATTTTTCATTGTTGATATATTCAATTCTGATATAGGTACGCGATTTCTAACTATAATCTAAAATGTGACGTATAATATTTCAACAATATAAAAATGAAATGATGAAAACGATAAAAATAAAACTTTTACTTTAGTACAAACGTTTTCAACCATTTGTATTTAATTCCAAGCATTTTTAAATAATTTCAATTTTTAGAAGCTGCCAAAATTATTCTCTGAATAAGTAACGTGAGTAAATCGTTGTCAAACTCTGAAATATATATGAAATGCAATTCCAGTCCACACATTCACTATTCATTAACGAATCCTATTGAACTATCTAATTCTTTCAATGATCTAGGGTCATATGATCTTACGAGATGGTGGTGTTTGCAATATACAATATTACAAAATATACTTCTTAGTGGTTTTTCAAGCGAATAATTTATGAATTTGCCTCAAGTATCACGAGCATGACTTCAAGGAATTGAGTTGTTATTTCAGTGATATAATCGCCTTTTATATTATTAATTTGAATACATGCACTGTCGTAAAAGAGCGAGTAATGGAAAAATGTGAGTGAAATATGGGCTTTTATTACACCTGGCCGTAATTCATCACATGTCGTCTAGTTTAGTTTTTATATAAGGAGATTGAATTCGAATCTTTTCATTGCTGATAGTTGTAGTTACATAAATAAATGCGCAAGGTAGCTATATCACATTAGTTTTCATATTTTTGACATCTGGTATTTATATATAGCGTAGATATTATTTTTATATCTATGTAAATTGAGTGTTACGAATTATACCTTGAAATTTGCAACCTGAATTGAGATTTATTTGAACTAACCTATTCATAACTTTAATCATTTGAAATAGGTGATATACTAGGTTGGCTAATGAATAAATGCGGTTTTCGGCTCAGCTGATTCAAGTTGAATTTTTATGTCTGCTGAGGTAGTCCAAATAAAATACACTTTGTTAATAGATAGTAGGCTATTAAGATGCCCATTAGCGAAAGAGTTATTTGATCGATCAATTAAAATTAATATTTTTTTTATCCACAAAAATTTCAAATAACAAAATTAAACAATACAGTCAAAAAAAGCGACCAAAATTGAGAAATCCAAACGGTTATTTATTCCATTATTGACACCACATAAATTTGACCAATCGGCAAAAATTATTTATTGATCAAAATGGAAATACTTCACAATATAAAGTAAAATAGTTTTCTAAAAAATGTTTTTGTTTTTCTAGCAAAATGCCTCATTTATTTAGATGCCATTCTAATAATTATAGTTTAGCATTATTTGTTTTCTCGTTACTTTGTCATGAATCCATTATAATTTATCTCATAGTTTGTGCTAATATTTTTCTGAAAAGAATAACATTTTTATATTTATTTATAGAAATGTTCTTGGTTAGTATTATTTGCCATCGTAACGTAAGCTAAAATAGTTTCTAAAATGCTAAGCCAAATAAAACAATTAGGAGATTCAAGCTAATAAGACACAGTAGGATGTAGTATTGTATTATAAACGATGAATTCATAGAAGTACGAGTTTTGCATTGAAATTTTCGTGGATAAAAAAATATTAATTTTAATTTAAGCTATCAAATTCTATTATCATTTTCACCGTCAATTCATCACTCAACTCACTCAAAGTTAAAATTTCTTGGTATGATCTCCAGGGTGAGATTTTAGGGCCTAAATCGCGTTTATCACAGACAGTAATTAGTTTCAAGAAGACTCATTTGACGCAAAACCGACGTCGACGAAAGCCTAAACGTGATTTTCATAATTTAGGTTAATCTTATTCTACGGACATTACCCTTATTTTCTACAATTGTATCCAATTAGTTTCAAGAAATATAATTAGCTTCCTGGCTTTAAGCAGGTGACATTTGAAGAAAAAGCTATGGACTATGTATTACTTCATTAGAATTTTTTATTTAATAAAAAGTCGTAAATGAAATTACCGAAACGTTTCTGAATATTTAATTAAACCCTGGTTTTGAAAATGCTTTTTTATGTAGAATTTCATCAATAAATTTATTATTTCATTTAATATCGAATGAAAATAATTTAAATATTGTATTAGGTTGAAATTTTGCAATCAGAAATTATGCGGATAAGGTTAATCATAATGGTATTATCGTTTCGATATAACCAAAATAAATTACTTTGTTTAATGTATGTATATGAGTATAAACGCATTGATTTTGCTTTTGGTTCATATTTTATTATTCGAATTGCGTTTTCCGACTATAGAAATTGATAACCAATTTAATAAACGTAAAAAATTGAATTATCAACGTATATCAATAACATAACAATTTTTTACAATATTTTAACAATGATTTTTTATGAGGATTATTAACATATAGAATATATTTTAGTAATATAATAAATATATATTAATTTATATATAAAAAATATTTTTATAGATGGAAAACAATAACATTCCAGCAACTTGTAACAAAAAATGATTGTAATGAGTTTGATGATTTGTTGATGATTATAGCCTATTGTTGTTTGAAAATGAAGACAAGTTTTAGTTAAACAACATATCCGTATTGCTCTCGATTAACCAATTCAATACAATCCTTATCAAATATCGACGATTTTCATAAATGATTATATTTGATAATAAATAGCATCATTTATATATTTTGCTGACAATAAATATTTTTTAATAATCTCTCTAAATCATATTTTTGGATAAGATTATTTTTAATTATAATATCTAATATAGTTATCAAGCGGTTAATCTCCCACAATGAAAATATTGATTCAAGCAGCTTATCAGTTAATTTGTACTACGATAAATAGACGGCGCCAACTACTTAATTTGAATTCACATATAAACACACAAACATATTTATATATATATATATATATATAAGATGTAAATAAAAAAATGAAAAATGAAAAAGAAAAATTGAGTGGCCAATCCTCATTTCAGATTGTACTGATTAGGTTTTTACCTGGAAATATAGTACTTAAATATGTTTACAAGTAAAATATCCCTTTTTTGGCTTGATGTATCTATAGATCAACTATATCATCATCACATGATGTTTTGATAGTGAATATATACTAACTAGACTAAACCATTGGATTAACTTCCAAAAAGACACGCGGTTAAGAAGAAAACAAAAAATGTCATAACGGTATATTTTAAATGGCTTTGCAAATAATAAGAGTATCCATCATATATCAAATATTACATAATTCGGTATATAATATGATATTAATTATTATACCAAAGCTGTAATTGATATTAAGAGTGTAGCGATAAAATTATGTGCCGAATTATTGCATTTCTGAGAAATGCCTCTGGCGTCTGCACTATATATATCCAATTTGGAGATTGCTGTATTAACTTACATTACCCATCTACCGCTAATTGCAACATGTTATCGAGTTTAATTAAGTGATATATTGGGTAATTGCACCGATAGATAATTGATTGTAGAATTGCATTCCAATACTGCAAGGGAATACGTAGAACGATATAAATTAGACAGATAGTTGTGCCAATAGTATTATTATAGTCTAAATAGTTCAAGACTTTTTTACTTGTAATGTACAAGACTATATTTCAACAAAATATACTCTAAAACTTTATAATCTAATTGCTACAAAAATATATTTAAAATTAAACATAGTATTCATTTGTCATTGATTGACATTTCATTGAACGTGTGTTCTTGTATACATACTATAGATTCATGATTAATTTACAATCTGTCTTGATTATCTTATAAGTTTGAATTCTTTATCTTTCAAATATCTTATATTTAATATGCTCTTTCTTCATAGTACTTCTTCATTTTTTTAAGCTAGTTTATCAATGTCGTCCATACTGTTGTCTTTAGAAAATTAAACTCTCCATTTTCATATTGAAAGCACTGATGTTCTTTAATATAAATGGATTCATATTTTTAAAAATAAAACTCTTGTTATATTCTGTATTCTTCTTCAATATCATCGTAAAACTTATTGAATGAATTATATGAAATGTCTTTTATGAAATAAGCTTTTCACGAATATGGAGCATAGCTTTTAATACTAACAAAATAATTTCCAGAAAATAATTTTACTTATGTGACTCTCAAAGTAAAATTCTCTCATATATGTATCACATATTTGCCATAAAAAATGGGTGAGAATACATAAACAAATCAATGGCCACACTTATAATTAGTATCTCTCCTTCATATACTATATCAAAAATATTGAAATACAAAATATGTGAATTGTTGTAGTAGATGTCTAATATTTATTTAAAATATTTCTAATAATGTTTTTGTTATTCTAGAATGCGAGAGTACGTTGAGGAAAATGAGAAAAACGACCCCCTGATACACGCCCCCGATAAAAAGAGTAATCCTTGGGCGGAGAAAGGAAAATGCGTCATTATGTAATGAATCATCGCATCGTTTAAGAAGACAAAGAATTAATATATATATTTGTAAATAATTAGGGAAAAACATACACAGAATCAGACACTTCGAAAAAAAAACTCGAAAAATTGATTAAATAGATGCAGAACGATAGATGATACCTAAGAAATTTGAAGACAACATGGATCGTTGGTGAATCGAAAATGAATGAAATTAAGGAAACGAGCAATCAGAAGCCATTTTAGGTGAGATTTTCTTCAGTCGATTTGGGAACGATCACATTGTAAACGCGCCTGCGCAGCAAGAACACTTCTAAGGCGCACGCTCGGAATTGTTGTTTTTCCTCTGATAGATGGAGGCTGCATTTCGTTCTGAATTTATTCACAACACATGATCCTGGTCGTCCAGGACGAAGTCCGTCTGAACTGTGCATTGTGGGCACTGCCACGCTGGTTCGTCAAAGAATTTTCAAAATACGAATTGGAAATTTGCGGAAGAGTCGAATATAAACACTTGCTTACACTGCCATCTGTGAAATATGAATCTGCGATAGGATTACTTTATCTGTTTCCGAATCTACATGTTTTAGTTTAAACTGGTTTTGTTTCGTAAGTGTTTTTCGTACCTAATATTTATTAAATCTTTCGTTAGATTAATGTGTGCCACGATTTAGCCTTAAGTTTTTATTTGAGAGAAATCTAGAAAAGAAAATACTACATAACCAATATGGCATGTGCTCTAATTGCGACCAACTTCCATAGACTCATTTCGATCGTCATTGATTTATATAATTATAAAAATGGAAACTTAATATTAAAATAAATCTATAGTGGTTTCGTATATTTCTACGTAATTGTTATGACATTATTTCAAAGTACATTTAATAAATGCTCAGAGCTTCATTTTCAACGATACGTAATCACTCATCCAGCTATTTTTTTCACCTATTCTAGTCGAATTTCTGGAGGCTTTGTCCTGGAAGTGCAATTGTAACAAATAAAATTTGGCGATGAATGTTAGAAATCGTTTTATATGGGAACATCGAACCTGCAATTTGCCAGTTCTCTTAATAGTTTTGAAGTAACATTCCATAAAATCCAGTAAAAATGTTCTGATTTAAATGAGGATTTTAAAAAATCAATGACCTATTAATCACTATTAATTATTTTTCTTAAATGATAAATGATTAGACAGTTCAAAATCATGCAGGGTTGTTATGCTTATTATTAGTATATTTATTACTTTAATAAATAAAAGTTCAATATGCTACTTAGAAAGCAAGTTTAAAAATTCTAGTACATATACTTTGTCATATTGCTAAAAAGATAAAAGTTACAATACAATTACTTTTATAATGCTTGCGTAATTTTCTGATGATAAATGAAAATAATTGACAAAAACTATAAAATTTTTCTACGCATCATCTTCCAATTTTTAATATCCTACGATTGTAGTTCTAGGTTCTCATACGCTTTAACGCTCCAGAAATTCGAACATATTATATCCAATATAATTTTATCCAAAATATTTTATCCAATTCAAACTATTTTTAAAGTAGTTATTAAAGAGAGTTATATTGGACCGAAAATTTACGAATTGCATTAACAAGCCAGTTAACAATAACATTTTATATTAATACAAAAACATTTGTAAACCGCTTTTGTTTCTGCATTTATACTATTAAAATACATCTAATAAATTTAAATCCAACTCTTAGAATAAAATTCAGGATAATATAAGATCGAGCACAATGTTAATTGTTGATTAATTTTTTCAGATGTCTGTTGTACATAAATACTATGACAAAAATAAATTCAATATTTTAAAATAGGCCTTTCCTATACTGTTGAAAAAATAAAAAATTATTTGTTGGAGTTTGGATTTAAATTATTAGATATGTGGCTAAATATGCCTATTTTAAAACTATAATTTAATTATTAATAAAATTAAACTTTGTAAAGTAATTAATAATATGCTAATACAATATTTAATATAGGTTAAAATTATTCATATTTATATCATAGAAATTAAAACATAAGCTTCCGTTCACGTATTATCAGATATATTCATCATATTAATATTTCAAAATTTTGTATTAGGCACATATATTTCAAAATGTCTATTTATAGAAGAATACAATAAAGTGAAAATATGATTAAACTCGCTAGTAAATTGTTTAAAAACTAATAGTTGTATAAGGAATTAGCTTTTATTAATTGCGCTGAATTTTAACTTTTTGATTCTAGAATTATGGAAATATAATTGCCAGTTTCGTCTTTAGACTCCTATATGTTTAACACATTAGCAAACAATTTAAATAATAATATAATTATGATCTTTAATTCAAAACAACAACTAATTTATGTTTTTCAACAAAATTGTTTTGTGGTTCTAAATAAAATGCAGAAATAAGCGTTAAAAACATTTATTTTCTAAGATACTCACTTAAATCACTTTTATTTCGCATATTTGTATTTATCTATTCATGAGAAAATGATAAATGAATCTTTTGACAATTGTTTATAGAATAAAATTGAATCTATAGTGTTTTTCTGTAACGTTTATTTAAATAATTCAACAAAAATGAAAAATGTTATGATTATTTCATTATTTTTGATAGTATACGTGAACACACAGCCATTTCGGAAACATAATTTCGTTTTAGAACCACAAAATTTAGTTTTGTGCAAAAATTTATTTTATTTTTATTCAAATATTTAATAATTTACTCTCTTGTCTATTTTCCATATTCCGCAAAATTAAGTATGATCTTGAATCGCTGTAGCTCTAGTCATTTATAATTAGTATTATATAAACTATTTGTGATTTTATGATTTAATATTGTAAATTATGATGCATTATTACATAATATATTATATGTGCTTAAATGCGATCTTATCTCGTTATATAAATCTGAGCTGGTTTATAAACTAAGAACTCATTCTATTAAAATAGACGATTATGACATTAGATAGTCTAACTTTTATTGTACGATTGTAAATGAATGATATGATAAAATGTTGTTTCGATTGTAATAAGATGAGAGAACAGTGTTATTACTTATTGTATCGTAAACGAGTGCATGTAACTTTTATTCATTCAGAGTGAGACAGGATCAAATAAATTATTACAAATAATTTTTGGGTATTTAAATAAATTTAGTTTCAGCAAGTTAACATGTACAGATTGATTGAATTGATTGAATTGATTTATAGTTTTTGTTATTACAGAGCCAAAGAGGAGGATCTTAATGTAGGTTGCACAAAATGTTGAATTTTTGATGCTTGAATATGTTACAAGGTATTGTCAAGAATATTAAGTATGTTTCCATCTTTTTTCTGACATATATTATATAATTATATTTATGTATTTAGATGCATTTAAAGAGCTAGTTCAGTTTGAAATAAGAACTTGCAAATATATAATTACTCCATTTGAAAGAAGAGCATACAGTTGAAGTTGTTATTAAGTATTATTATTTTTAAACAATAATTAGAATAATTTACTAAGAAGTTGCATTTAAGAAGCTATTTGAGTTTGGAACAAGAACTTGCGAATATATAATATTTCCACTCCATTTGAAAGAAGAGCACACAGTTGAAGTTGTTATCAAGTACTTCCATTTTTAAACAATAATTAAAACTTAAATTTTTTAACGACGTTGTGCATTAGAAGACAACCCAACGGTTGATCTAACTTTATTTTATATATTTTGATTATAAGAATTTAATTGATTATAAGATATATTTGATACTTTGATGCAGTAATGCCGGAGAAGAGGTATTTTTTCTAGAAACATTTAAATCTAATATAGTTTATCATAATAATATCTATAATATTAATCAAAATCAAGATTTTTATTTTCCTTTCACGATTATTTATTTTCAACATGTACTATAATTATTCAAAAGATAAGTCATAACGAAGATATTCACTAATATCAAGTACCAAATTTTGAAATAAGGTAGGCCAATTTGACGTTCAGTAATTATACTGTTAATCCCCTAACTAAATGAACTACGTCACAACACTTAATACGTATCAAACAAACAACTATGTTCAGTATAATTCACAGTTAATTCTTAATTATAGAAATGTGTTAATTTACTATTTTACTGAAATTTTTCTGTTTTTTTTATTCCATAGGAGGGGTCTTTACAAAATAATAGCTATAATGTTAAACCAATAAAATATTCAAATTTTATGGGTATATTTTTACAGAAGTAATACTGTATATAAACTTGATATGATATTTTCTCGGAAATCTTCACCAGCAGAGTTCGAATGAATATTTATTTATATTTTTATTGTAAAATACGAGTAAATAACTGAAGTGAACAAGTCTCCAAACCATTTGCCTATAGAGTCATCTCTACGAGAGTTGTTTCGCGTAAAATGTAAGTCGAGTTTCATTCCAGATAATGCAGGAAATCCATAGAAAAGCTTTCATGATGTGGAATCATTTTGCTTTATATGAGTTCGTGGACCTTTAGAAAGATGCCACTAGTCTTCAGTTTTTGTACTATTTGTTTTATTCTAGTAACTTTTGTTTATTACTGAGATATAACACTAATTGTCTATACTATAGTCATATCTATAAATAGATAATTTAAAACGTTTAGTACATTCGTGGGTGTAGTTAATTTTTGATGTTTTTTGATTTTTATAAAATACTCCTGTATGTTAGAAAAAAATCAATAACTTTCCGAGTTATTTTAAAACTGTTAAACTTAAAATTTATAAATTAAATTTATTAACGATGTTTTGGCTAAAATGCTTTCAAACTGCATATCTCAATTTAGCGCTGTTTTTTTAACCCGGGAATTTTTTAAAATAAGGGTGAAATAGTTTGAAAAACAGTAGTAAGTCTTTCTAATAAAGATCTGATGCAATTGGCTGAATTTAAAAAGACATAACATATTGATAGTAGAAATTTTGATTGAGAAAAAAAGTATTTTCTATAGTAATTTTAAATAAATTTGAGCACAATTACTGAATCTATAAAACAGTTTATTAAAATTTGTCCAAATTTTATATACTTGTTAACAATTTTTAAAAAAATGCAGAAGAAACAAGCCAAGTGCATTAGGTGCTATTTGAAATATAGGCTTATAGGCAAAAAATGTATACCGCAGAATAAAATAGATTGCATAATTCTAATGAATTAAAATTTTATTGGTTTTTATGAGTAAACTATCATGACATATTTGAATTTATGAAATAGTAACTCCAATCATAATTTATGAACTAGTTATTTCCCACCTTCAAAAAAAATTGAATCAATGTATAATGAAACTCTATAAGCGAAGTTATCAAAATAAAACTCACAGGTAAACGATTTCTGCTGTTTTTAATTCGAAAATTTTCTTAATAAATATAAATAATACTAATTGTCGTGAAAAGTCTGGAATACCGATAACCATATATTTCTTTATATTTATACGGTCGTACATGTCGCAAGGATATATCGGTACAAAGTCACGACCCCGTGTGCCAGCACGTCCTGTAATCAATTTACATTTGATCTGTTTAAGTGCGAATATAAAAACCGTTATAGAGTTCTACCGCAAGTAATAAAATTGTAATATGTGACAAACGTAGTAAATAAAGGGCAGTCCGAAATGCGGATTCGGGGGCGACTCTTTCCTGCACGGGTCATAAAAATACATAAATCTGCCACCCTCGTCGGGAAATTGAGAACCGGTTAGGCCCATATCGTTTGCGAAAGGCAAACTTTTTTATTTTCCGAGGGCGCAGGGGAGTGGTTCGCGTTAAAACAAAAAAGAAAAATAATGCTGACTGGATTCAGCGGCAGTTCAGCATTCGACGAGAGGGAGAATTGGTATTTTCAATATAGTGATTGGAATTTGTAATTCAATTTTCGATCAATTTGTAATAGTCACATGGTTAATTTATAAAACTGCGTGATCTATCAATAAATAATGCAATCATACATAAACAATTGTATTTGCAGTTTTCTGTAGAGGTCATGGTAAAGCACAATGGTCTAACTTGACTTTTAGCATTTATACTC